GCATGTACCTTGGTTGCGGGCACATCCCCAGCAGAAGGTGTGCAGGAGAGTAACTGATCGATGTTTCTCTCTCATCAAATGTTTCTAACTCTCTATCCCTCTCCCTTCCTCTCTGTAAAAAAAAAAAAAAAATTTTTAAAATATACATATATATATATATATATATATATATATATTTTAAAAATAATATGTCAGGACAGCCAGCATAAACTGGAAGGCAGGCTCACCCTAAGCAAGACTTTGAGTTGGGAAAAGAAGTAAGCAACTTAGGTACTCTAAAATTTTAGAAATACTTTTTATGGTTTTCTGTTTTGAGACAAATGGCAAGCAAGTATTTCTGGAAATGCATTGAAAGTTATTGCCTACTCTTACCTATTTGGTTAGTTGGATTCTTTATTTCCTTTCCTCCTGAGAGCACTTCCTGCTGAATGTTCATGTAGCCCTGGCAGCGCTGGTGACTCTCCCCTGGGGCCCGAGGTAACACCTCCTCTGTGTGCCAGGCCGTCGGTAAACTAGTGCCATAGCAGCTGCCCAGGCCACTGCGCTGCCTCTGCCGCCTTTTCCCCGATACTGAATGCACCAGCAGTCTCAACTCTGGGTAATGCAGTTAAGGGCCCAGGAGCTGCTGTGCGAGTGGCCCATGAGTGTCAACACAGGCTGTATAGTGTCAGGAGTGGACGTGGTGGTGATGGCTCATGGCCCCGGTCCAGCCCTGATGCAGCCAGGCAGGGTTAGAGAAACCAGGCCGGGCCAGAAGATCAGGGGATCAGGGCCCCAACATTGAGGTCCCACGAGAGCACCCGTAATTTTTTTAAAGGAGCTGCAGTTCCCCTCCTCGGAGCAGGGCCTCCCTCTGTCCTCCACGGAGCCTAGTCATCTTCTCCCTCCTTAGCCCCTGTGGTTCTGCAAGGAAGGACTGGAGGCACTGCCTGGACACAGCCACCTGCCCCGGGGGGCTGTTTAAATCCAAATTCAAATGAAGTGGATGTAAGACTTCAGTTCCTCTGGGACACGAGCACGCGTGGCCGCTGACCCAGACAGCAGGGTACAGAGTATTTCTATCGCTGCACCCAGTGGTGGACAGCGCTGGGCCGAGGCAGCAGCCACACCAGGCTCAGGGCACACTGCCTGGCTGTTTTGGGTCCCTTGTTGTGTGAGCAGATGAGAGACTGAGGAATTTGTTGTCTGTAGGATGCGTGTTTTTTCTTGAGGTTGTGTGAAGGATGGGCCTGGTCCCACTAGGCCGGCTTCTTGGAGGAAGACACGTTTCTGTGACTGGAGACAGACCCTGCATCAGGCGGCGGTGGCTCTCGGAGCGCCGTGTCCTCATGTGTGAAATGAGGACATTCCGAGAACAGAATGGAGCCTGGCCCATTGAAAGTGGTCCATGAGCGATCGCTGTTGTGTCACCTGTAGGACAGGTGCATTCTGCTGGGCTGGGCCTTCGTGGACAGATGAACCGCTGTGGGTCACCCTTTCTTTTTTTTGAAGCCGCAGGCCCCCCGGAAAGCAGCACCCCGGTGGAATCGGAGCCGAGCCAGTGGGTGTGTAAAGTGTGTTCCCCCCCCTTCCTGGAGCTGCAGCTCCTGAATGGTAAGGCGGGGGCGGGGGGGGGGGGGGCCAGGTTGTTGAGTCAGAGTTTAGAAAGCCCTCTGTTGAGGTCACTGTGTTTTGGGTTCTCTTGCACACCATCCCTTTTGGACAGCAAAACGCATGGCCATCGGAGGCTCCCTGGCTTCAGTGAGCCGTGTCACACAACATGGTGTTTGCTGTGTAATTTTCTTTTTCTCACTCGTTCCTGAGGGCACGCACCCAGCAGTGTCCCTCCATATGGGACAAATGAAGGCGTAACGGCCACTTTACACACAGCACTTGAGTCGACCCAGTGGAGCTTTACAACAGGAAGAATCAGTCCTGGGCCCCAGTGAGCACCCAGGTGCCTTCTGTCATCAGCGTGCGTTAGTCCCATCCTCCCATCCGCCCTCCCTCCTCCTTCCTGCTGGGGCCCTGCGGGCCAGCTGGTCTGTGCCGGACTCACCTTCACTGGGACTGTGGCCACTCTCGTCCAGCTTTCTTGTCCTGGGAGGCCTCTGAGGGCTTCTTCAGTTGAAAATAAAGCACAGTTTTTGTTCTTTTGCTTTATGCAGTGTTTTTAAAGACAGTTTATCGCAAATTGAATATTTCTCTTTTCCTCTTAGAGGTTACATTTTTAAGTAATCATGTTATGTATTTATTGTGGAAAAATTAGAAAATAGCAAATAAGCTTACAGACAAAAATCACAGTTGCCTGACTGTTACCATCGAGAGAGAACACGTGGGTGTGGCCTTCCACAGTCCTCTTCGCACGTACCTGTGGCGCAGGCTTTTATCTGTACAGAACTGCCCTGCTTTTATCACCTGACTGACTTTGAAATAGTCGTCTGTTTGGTGCGTGGGAATGCTTTCTTTTCAAAAGCAGTGGGAATACAGTTTACCTCTGCAGAGGGCGCACTATTAGCAAATAAAATTGAAAACAGAAACAAGCAGTGGGTGAGGGAGCGGACACTGACCGGCTCCCTCGCGCCCCTGTGCACCTGCCTCCCTCTCCTGCAGAGCATCTGTTGGGTCACTTGGAACAAACCAAAAGCCTCCCCCCGGCCGGCCAGCAGGAAGGGGCTCCCGAGAAGGAACCTGACGGGTCTCAGGGGGAGCCTCCCGCAGTCCCCAAGAGCGTCAGTGCCGCCAAAGAGCAGAAGAAAAAGCCTCGAAGGGGGAGAAAACCCAAAGCCTCGAAACCAGAACAGAAACCAGAACAGCCCCTGGTCATCATTGAAGACAAGGAGCCCGCAGGTGAGGGCTGGCCCTGGGGGCGGAGCCTGAAGGTGAGGGCTGGCCCTGGGGGCGGAGCCAGAAGGTGAGGGCTGGCCCTGGGGGCGGAGCCAGAAGGTGAGGGCTGGCCCTGGGGGCGGAGCCAGAAGGTGAGGGCTGGCCCTGGGGGCGGAGCCAGCAGGTGAGGGCTGGCCCTGGGGCAGAGCCCGCAGGGTGTGTTCTGTGGACCTGACAGGGCCTGAGGGGTTAGACTTCCTGCACAGTCCCTTCCCTAAACAGGCCAGGCCAGTGAAAGGGCAGGAGCCTCTTCAGTGATGGGTTCACTAGTGGTTAGTTGCATTAGGAAGGCATGTGGGAGGCAAGTGGGAGGACCAGTGCTAATTTTTGTGTGTGACCTTCCCGTGTTTCATTTGTGCAGAGGTTCAGACCTGGGTTCCTGTTACTATGGTTATGTCGTGTTTGACTCTTGTGCTTGCCGTTATCTGCTTCTGAACATACTCACGGTGGCTTGTCTAATAACAAAATTAATATTTCTAAGTCTCTGTCACCATAATTTAATACATTTTAAGATCCCAATATATATGAAAATGTTTTGGTTTGGGTTGGTATGCTGAGGGATTGAAATAGTGCTAGGACTGCCGTGGTTTTAAAAAAGCATCACAATTTATAACCTAGTTTTGAGTTATGAGTATCATTTTGATTTTCTGTATATACAGATAAATATGTAGGTTCTAAAACATTGCTAGTTTTCCTTTCTTTCCTTGTTAACCGTGTAAACCTGGCCCGGCTGTGTCCCCTGGGCGTGCCGTCTGTGTTCCGCCCCTGCCCAGCTGTGACGCGGCTGTCCCGTTCTTTCTGCCCAGAGCAAGTGGCCGAGATCATCACCGAGGTGCCACCGGACGAGCCCGTGCCTGCGGCGCCGGACGAGCACATCATGGAGCTGGTCTTGGGGAAGCTGGCCACCACCACCACCACCAGCGAGGCCGCTTCAGTGCCCAAGTGAGTCCTGCCCCAGCGCTCGGGGCAGGCAGCGAGGGGGCAGTGAAATCATGGGGGGGGAGGAGGGGGGAGGGCCTGACGAGTAGGGGCTTGCTTCTCATGGTGGAAGCGGATGAGTGAGTTTCTGAGCCAGCAGCAGGAGCACTCTGGACCCAGGAGCTTAGTGGGGCGTCCACTGTGAAAACAGTTTGAACAATATTTTTATTGTGGTAAAATAGACCTAACATGAAATTCACCATCATCATAATTGTTAAGAGTACAGGTCAGTGGTTTTAAATACATTCACATACATCCACCATCATCCATCTCCATAACTTCTTTATCTTCCTTGAACTGAAACTCCATATTATTAAATAATTATTCCTTACCCCCTCCCCCAGCCCCGTCTGTGAATCTGAACAGCCTAGGTGCCCGTGTAAGTGGGATCACACAGGATTGGTCCTTCTGTGACGGGCTTGCTCCGCTCGGCATGATGCTCTCCAGGCCCATCGAAGTGCAGCCTCGGTCAGAACGTCCTCCCTCTGCAGGCTGAGTGACAGTCGCTGTGGTGTGGGCCACACTGGCTTGTCCATTCCTGCTTCCGTGGCACTTGGGCTGCCTCCCCTCTTCCTGTTACGAATATTGCTGCTGTGATTAAAGCAGTTTTGTATTGGAATTTCTATAAATTGCTTTCCTTACTTTGTGTTTTCCTTTTTCTTTCAGTGAACAAGGAAAATGTTTGTATTTTGTTGTCATTCTTGGGAAATTATTGTCCTGAAGCTGAATAAGCTGGTGGCAGTTTTTTCTCCACTGGCTCTTTTTGGGGTTCCCCTTTCTGTTGTCAAAGTGCACCTGGTCCTTCGTAGGCTGGGAACCTGTGGAAATACTGAAACCAAAGGCATGTCAGAAATGCTGTTACCTGTTTATTTATTTACAGTCTATCTGAGTGCCCGGAGAGTTTCCATGGAAACAGTCAGAAACACACAAGCAGATGAGATTTTAAAAATCCGGTTCAGGGAGAATATAAAGCCGTAGAGGCCGGACCCCGTGAGGCGAGCTCAGGGACCTGGCTGCTCTAGTTGAAGCGCACATTGCGTGTGGCGCTTCCTGGTGGCCAGAGGTAAACACAGTGAGACGTGTGGCTGGTCCGCTCACGGTGCCTCTCCTCTGGGTCCCCCTGGCCCTGGGTGATGCCGAGCTTGGCTCCTTTCTCCCATCGAGCAGGGACGATTTGTGAAGACCCTTTCCAAGATGACTGTAACCTTGAACTCTTTCCCCCCCTTGAACTCAGTCTCCCACCTGTCTTCCCGTTCCCTGTCCACCTGGCAGGTTCCCGCATCATCAGAGCGGCAGCATCACCCTCAAGAGGAGTCTGATTCTCTCCACCCGGCACGGCATCCGGCGGAAGCTGGTCCGGCAGCTGGGGGAGCACCGGCGGGTGTACCAGTGCGGCACCTGCAGCAAGGTCTTCCAGAACAGCAGCAACCTGAGCCGGCACGTGCGCTCGCACGGTGAGTCCCAGCCTCTCCTGTGGCGGCGTGGCCCAGGGGCTGCCCGCCCCGCGTGGAGGGCCAGGACGCGCATGTCTCTGGTCGTGCTACAGTCGTGGATCAGCTTGTTCTTGTTGGCGTCGTAGGTGACAAGCTTTTCAAGTGTGAGGAGTGTGCGAAGCTGTTCAGCCGAAAGGAGAGTCTAAAGCAGCATGTCTCCTACAAGCACAGCAGGAACGAGGTGGGTGCAGCCACGGTTGTCCTCCCAGCTACGGGAGAAGCAGGCCACGGACCAAACAGTCCGATGGGGAGAGAAGTTAGAGTCAGGGGAGAGGAGAGAACCACAGCGGCCAAGCCCGGCGGTTCTGGACACATCCAGGTGGCCTGGCCTGGCGGGAGCAGGTGGCCCTTGGGGCTGTGCAGGTGCCTGAGTATGGGGTGCTCTTTCTAGGGCAATGGGGCGGGAAGAGTGAACATTCTTCATGTTCCTAAGCTGAGTAGGAGAGTAGTACAGAAACGTCGTAAACCACACACACGGAAGTTGCTAGAATGTTTCCTCAGGGAGCTCGTTCTGCTTGAGCCTCCCCTGGGCTCCTCCTCTCACTGACACCCTGCCCTCTGCCCAGGTGGACAGCGAGTACAGGTACCGGTGTGGTACCTGTGAGAAGACCTTCCGCATCGAGAGCGCGCTGGAATTTCACAACTGCAGGACAGGTGAGCGGGCCCGGCCAGCGTCGATTCCCAGGGGACGGGGTGGGAAATGGGGAACGTCAGAGGGGGTAAAGGTAGGGTTAACAAATAACCCCACCACGCATTTTGCTTCCGAGCAGTCATTAGCTGGTCTAGAGACAGACGGAGACATCCCGGGTCTAAAGGAACTTATGTTCCCACTTCCTGTTACACATGCCCCCCATTTGAGTTCCCACACATGCCACCCTCGCCGAGTGTGGCGGGCAGCGGTGTCGGGTTTGTGCTAGGACCATGTGAGAAGGAGTGGGTGGGTGGGGTGGTGCCTGTAGGGGTGTGTCTCTCACTTGTCGGAAGGGGCTTCCGGAACCATTAGCCTCCCTTCTACATGGAGCTGCCAGTGTCCAGACCATGTTGTTCTGAGTCCACTTCTGTCCACCAATCTCCAAAAGTGACAGGAACCTCATTTCCTCATGCTGCCACGAGCCCGTGCCGAGGGGGCCTCCCTGGGTCTGGGCAAGCATGCTGGGCACTGTGTGTGGGCAAGCTGGCAGCTGGCAAGCACGCGTGCTGCAGACATCCTCGTGGACAGCAGGAGGCAGTGGCTTAGGAGCCCAGCCCCTGGAGAAAGCCCCGCCCTGTCCCCACTGCTCCTCCTGTGCACCGGGGTGACTTGCCTTCTCCCTCTCTCCAGGAACCCTAGCTCACCCGGGAGAGGGGGGGACCAGTGGCAGTCGGCTTAGCGACCTACCAGGTTAGCCTTTGATACCGACCCTTTCCTGTTGGCCCTCTGTGTGCGTCACTGTATCTCTGTGCGGGTTCTTGGTCAGGTGGGTCTCCGGGGAGCCTTAACCGGCTTAGCTAAGTCTCCACGGTCCCTCCCTCTGCAGCCAGCGCCTGCCCGGAAGCGCCCGCTGTAACCCTTGCTTGGCTCATGTGTTTGTTTGTTTGTCGTGTTGGAGGGTCCTGTCTGGAACCTGGCATGTCTCGCCCATGGCACTTGCTCCCATGGCGGGACTGTTCTGAGTGGCAGACGAGCCCTGTTTCACCTGAGCTCCAGCTGCTCCGCAGCATCTGAGTCTGTGGCTTTAAGTGGCCTTGGCAGCTTTTGGACAAACTTCCTGTGTGCTGCACACCTGCATCATGAGCCCTGCACCCAGGTGCTCCCCAGATCTGGGGCGGGTCCCCCAGCAGTCTCCATGCTGCACCAGCTGTCAGCCGGCCTTAGCCTGGGCTGTTCTGAGTCGGACTACGCCCGTGTGGCCACTGGCAGGTCTGCGTGCCTGCAGGAATGGGGCGGGCTGTCAGGGTGTCAGGAGCATGAGTGGCACCTGTGCAGTGTTTGGTGCGTGACTCAGGGTCCAGGAAGAGGAGGTGTCCTCTGTAGCTGTCTCTCTGGACACAGGTGAAGCAGAAAGTAACAGAAGTCAGAGCCCCAGGTGTTACTCGTGGGTCAAAGTTCTGACAAAGCAGACCTTTCCTTCGTCATGTGGAAGTAACAGCAGCAGCTGAAATGCACCTTCTCTTTTCCCAAGATGCTCTTTCAAAGGGTAAAAGTTTTGGATGGAAAATAAAGGATAAGCGTGGATATGAGCTCATTTGCAAAATGCAGTACAGTGGGGCCTTGACTTACGAGTTTAATTCGTTTCGAGACCGAGCTCGTTAAGGCGCTCGTTAACTCAAATTACTCTATCAACTCAATGCAAAAAATCGTTGGAGAGACAGTTGGTATCTCAAAACATTCGTTAGTCGGAACACTTGTAAGTCAAGGCCCCACTGTATTTGCATACTGTTATGTTTTTTTACTTATTCACAAAAGAAAATGTGTGTCTTCCATAGACCATTAAGCCAAGAATTTGTCCAATGTGAGGGAGAAGCTTTGAAACGTATAGTCTGCTGGGTTTTCTCATTTTTCCACTCAGCAGGGCCGGCCCTGGGTGTGACAGGTGTTGGTGTAACTCTTCTGAGTGGTCCCTGAACTGCCCTTGACCATCAGACTGCGCTAGTGAATAGCAAAGGCTCCCATGCAGGTCAGCTCCCCTAGAAATCTGCTGTCTTATCTCTGGTTGACCCTGCACCCACACCCTCACCAGAACCCAACTGATAGGCATCTGTTCTTAGTGGCTGCATTTTATTAAAACACTAGAGGCCCAGTGCACAAATTCGTGCACTGGTGGAATCCCTCAGCCTGGCTGGTGATCGGGGCCGCAGGAGGTTGGCTGGCCAGGGGGAGGGACTGCGGGAGGTTGGGCGGCTGTGGGAGCACAATGACACCAAGGGCCGTCTTGCATTGAGCGTGTGCCCCCTGGTGGTCAGTGTGCATCATAGCAACCGGTCAACGTGTTGTTTGGTCATTCGGTTGCTTAGGCTTTTATATATAGAGATAAATGTAGACCTCAAGGGCACCAGGGTTATTGGTGGGAGAAAGTTATTGTTGGAGCCAGATGCCCATCTGCATTCCCAAACTGGTGACTGAATACCACACAGGAAACACACCCTGAGTGAGGGACATCCTGAAAGCCCTGCCTGCTCCTTCTACCTGGGCAGGGCAGCCACCCTGAGTAAGTGACGTCCCGATAGCCCTGCTCACTCCCTCTACCTGAGCAGAGGCCACAAATGAGTTGGGAATAGTTACAGGTGATTTCTCACCATATGCTGGAGGGACTCGTGAGAGAGAAAGCTAAAGCCATAGGCACCTTCCATGCTAGTGGGGTGCCTGCCCAGGAGGGCGGCTCACCTGGGTGGGTTTGCAGGCCTGGGGTGGGTGGGGGTCTCTGTGATCTGATGGGACAGCCCAGTAATGGTGTGGCCTCCACAAAGCAGATGCAGATGCCCTTGGTCTGGTGGTCCCATCCCTAAGAAGCCATGCTCAGGGGATTCAGCAGAGGCCCCTGGTGACATGAGCCCAGCGTCTGCGCCCCAGCCACGCTGAGGGAGGAGAGGGGCCTCGGGCCAGAGGCCGGGGCAAGGGACGCTGGCATTGTTGCAGGCTGGGCTGAGGGACCCCCCGCCCCCATGCACGAATTTCGTGCACTGGGCCTCTAGTAAAAAATAATGCAGTAAATTGTGTTAAAGGAACCAGGTGGACTATTACATAGCCCCTGAAATAAGCATACTAAGCACACATACTGCATACATGTGTATGTACAGGGGATCATGTAGATGCACCTGGGATGCACATTGGGGTCACCTAACCCCCCGCTTGGACATGTTGGTTGTCACACTGGCTGTGTGTGTGTGGTGGGGGTGCTGCAGGACATCCACAGCACCAGGTCGGCCCCCACAGAGGACGATGTGGCCCACGTGTTCCCAGGGCTCAGTCTGAGACCCTGGGTGTGTGGGGGGCAGGGGGTACTTAAACGCACCATGGGCTCCGTGTACAGCACAGTGAGAACCAGCAGATTCATGGTAGGAAACAGCAGGGCTATGTGCAGCCTCAGGGATCTGTGTGTTTGGCAAACGTTTGCTGACTCCAGGAGCAGGTCAGCGGGCTGGGGCCCAGGCCCAGAAACAAGGATGACACGTGTGTCCTTGAGCCTCCCTCTGAAGGGGGATGCC